TTTGCAAAATACGGCTGACATCGTGTTCTGGCGGGGGGTTAGTGAAATGAAATACGTCATATCGCAACAAAACATTGTTACTTCCTAGGAAATGTAGAATAAATATACTAAAATAAACATGTTTTTTCATCATATAGCAAAAAATTTTTTAAATAGGAAAAAATAGACTTTGCCAGGTGAATCTGTAATTTTATGCATAATCAGCAGTTGACCTGGAATGGTAAACATTCATTTTCTTGTAAGATATGAAACTAGGATAATTTCACCCTCCAGTAACCACCCCTAAAAGCAACCATTCTGAACCATATAAATAACTCAGAAAGACTGTAGCTTGGATAATTCCGGAATTAGAGCTGTCAACGATGCCGTTTCTGGGTGTGGTCATTTTCAAGACTTTCGTCCCGGATTCACATTTTGGCACATATGCCATGTCGACCAGCATGATCATGTTACCCTAAAACAGTTGAGATAATCTGTCTTAATTAAATGAAGTGCATACAAACTCCTTTACAGGTCCTAGACTAAGTTTTCATCTCCAGAATTTTCTTACAATTTCAAAAAATGGTAGCAACTCCAGCTCAGAATAACCCCTTTTGACAATTTACTCACAATATTCCAAGATCTAAAACTCTGTGCCTGTGATAGTTTTTTCAGTAATTCCATGTGTATGTACATTGTGACCTAGCTTGTACTGTGTTAACAAGTACTGTGTTAATTAATCCGAGCTTGTAGATTGAATAGATAAGGAAAAATGGAGCTTGTGTACAATGGTGAATATTGGTAACAGCCTCAATGTTTTTCAATTATCTTTCGTCCATCTCGACGATACGGCATTTTCCATTCTGGAAAGGGTGCATAAGTTGCCACAGACATTAATGGCATCGGTTGTGTTGACCTCGTTTCCATTGAATTATTCTGAGGTCTCCCGGCCTGGTTCACTCCAGGTGGAGATCTTGTTCCGTTGGTTGAGTACTCGTGTTGTTGACGTGCTGTCTGCGTTTCTGTCTTTACCAATGTTCTTCTGGAGTCTTTGAACTCATTTTTTGCTTTGTATTCTTGCGGCGATGATGTAGCGCGTCTGGATCCTCGGAGGCCTGAGCTGGTCACCTTTACAGGCGGCGGTGGTCTCAGCGGTCGTTTTATTCTCTGTGTCAGTAATTTCCGCTGTGGCTTCTTGTAGTTCTTGGACGATTTTGCGGATGAAGCGAACCCAATGGTGAATAACGGGGTAGAACTAACCTCTTGCGAAGGCGCGGGGGGTGGCGAAATGAAGTCACTGAAATAATCTGGTTGAGTTAGCGATGGTTCTGTTTCTTCGGGGTCTTTCGGAGAATGTATCGCTTGTTTTGCAGGATGTGAAGTGGTGACGGAAGAGTTGGTCTTCGCCTTTGACGGTGGTTCTCTCTTCACCATTACAGGCTTTTGACCAGTAATGTGCGTGTCAGTCTCCACATTTTGCTGACGTTCTTTCTTTGTAGACTGTTTCATGATGATTGGGGTGTCACTTCTAGTCTTTAGGGTTGGTTCTTTCAACGAAGGCGGTTGTGTGGTGATGGGATGTTCAACTTTTGGGAGTGTTTTTTTCTTTGCAGAGTGTTGTGCGTTAGAGAGGGTACCATTTTCTGCGTTTCGAATAGGTTTCTTACCCACAATTGAAGCCTGTTGTGTGGTGATAAGAGTGTTCAACTCCACCTTTCGGGGTGGTGCTTTCTCGATAGTTGGTTGTTGCTTGTTTGGCGGTGATTCGTTCTTTAGTATTACGAATGGAAGGGAAAAAGGTGTAAATATGTATTTTTCTGGCCTGTAAATTGACCTCAAATAATCAATCTCAACTAATCAGAACAGAAATATTATTGATGCCGATTCGACTGGAAAACACCTAATCAGGATCAGACTCCTGAATCACTGAATATACACAATGATTCGATCTAGTAAACTTCGGTAAGGGGTTGTTTACAATGAAGACTTTTTAGCTAGGCCTCGGTGTTATCGCGGCTTTCATAGCTTTCCGAGCTGAATATTCGGCCCTTTAAAATCTTACTATAAAATATAGCTCCTGATTACATAATTCAATCGGAAAAATCACGGCAGAAGAAATCGCTTTAAATGCTTTTTCGTTAGTTTACACTAAATAAATATAGTTTGTAATTTAGTCCGTGATTTTCACCGTTTTAATTTCACCTATTCCGGCAAGATGTACAGTATTTGAAATTGATTTCTGTGTTCTCATAATAGGCTATAGGCCTTTTTCCTTCACAGACACTTCATTTTTTAATATATATACATCATAACTTACCGCTTCAGTCCATTTTCGTAGAGACACGAGGTTCAAATGGGCGAGCTGTGAATATATTTGATGCAAATTTAAATACATTGGAAATTGCAGTTAAGTCAGCTTCCAGAAAACAGCTATTTTGAAATAGCATAACTATATTTCTTACCAATCTCGGAATTCTCTTTCTCATTTCAACAACGTTCAAATTCATCACATTTCCATTCAATATCTAGGTAAATACACATTATTTTGCCACTAGTGCAAAACCCAAGATCCGGAGGCGGTTATTTTTTGTTCAAAAGCAGGTTAAATTGAACCCAGGGCACAGAGGAAGAATATATAATCTTTAGTTTGTGCTCGGGGTTAGCGTTAACCCTCAGTTATAAGAGAGCTTAAGATTGATACCGGTAACCGAAAGAGGAAGACATTATTATCCCATACCTAGTGTAAAAGCTGTGTTCTTGTTGGCTAAGAACAGGTTTGTTCAAACTTGAACCCACCAGGCAAACCATTGCGTACGTTTTTGAACACTTTTTCCCGAAATGGCATGATCACATAAAAAATAAACATACTTGCAGGTATGGTGAGTCTGGGATCTACGCATTTCGGGAGGCTGAAAGTTTCAGCCTACTTCGGTGCGTAAATACCGACTCACCGAACCTGCAAGTATGTTTATCATAAAACGCATTTAAAGTAAACCGGCATGCAGGTCTTCGAAGGCTAAGTTCACATTTCATGCTTCAATTTTCATGGCCAAGATTTGCCAACATCGAATTAGTAAATGACGAATACGAACTTTAGTTTGCGGTTAGCGGTTCGCTATAAACGTCAATCTTAAAGTGCCTGAAATTTATAAAAAAATTAACCCAGCTGGCTTAACCTAGTTAGGTGCATAGTATAACTTCTTAATCCTAGATTAACTTCGATTCATAATGGATGACTTAGTCTAAGGGGAGGAAACATGTACACACGAATAATTTCTTACAGTTTTGAATACGAATATTGTATAATAAGAATATAAGAATATAAGTCTTAAAAATACATTTAATCACAGGTTAACCGGCTTTTGAACAACCGGTGCCAGAGAAGTCAAACAAATTTTAAACCTCGTTTGGCCTCTCGGAAATCTCGCCAGAAGATCAGGTTAATTTGCAAATTAAAGATTAATCAATGAATCAGAATTTAATTAAGCACTTATACCTTTCCCTTTGAAACATTTCCGTCGTTCGACTTCGATTTGTTTTATATATTTCCAACGCTTTCCGTCAGGGCGCTATATATATAAGCGCCCTGCTTTCCGTATTTCAATACGTTCGTCTGCCGTCACGAATACATTCGGACGTTTATTCTTAATTAACGGTCTTTTCGCATTCGTACTGATTTCAAAATAATTTGCGCGCGCATGGCAGAGAGAATTATAACACAGAGTCTGGAACTGGTGCGCGTATTAAAAAAAGTTTTTAAGTACTTTTTGTCACCTAGTTCCATCTCTGTATCTATTGGTTACTTTTGCTAGAGTAGAGTAAATGAAGTACAAAGCTGTGACTATTTGTCTACGTGTCTATGCCTCATGAAATGTTTAAATATGGCTTAGATTTCATGGTAATTGTCTGATCAAGCATTTTCGATTAACTGAAGCTTTACAATAAATAAAGTGGAGCAAATGGAAAAAGAATGAGACGTATGAACTGCTAGGCTTTAGCAAAAGGGAAACATTACATTCCGAGGTTCAGATGTTCGCATTAATTTTTTACCGCAACACGTTAGAGTATACAAAGCCAAATAAGAGCAGGATTTACAAAAGTTAACTTCAGTCCCCCGTTTCTATATCCACACACAAAGTCTTGTGCTTCTTGATCTCTTTGGCTTTATCAAGTTAAAAACGACAGAAAGAACCATTGGCCGGTTCTGTTTCAGAATATCCATCCCCTGTTGAACTCTCGCTTCAATCTCGGCCAGGTTTTCTGGTGGAGTGGCACAATGTTAGACTTTATTTAGATAACTTCAAAGGAAAAAATACGAACAACTGAGTTATTGCAAGAAATCATTCTTACATAATTATTCGAGCATTAACATCGCGCAAGCTATGAGTTGAGCCGCCAAAAATATTACTGAATTTCCCATATTTTGGAAACCAAAACCTAAACCTTCATTCCATATAATCAAAATTCCTGATTTTCAAGAAATCATTGCTTGCACAAGCCAGTCAAAATGAGGTTTTCACAATCCCCTCTCCCGTTTTTCGAGGTTATATTTTCTGTTTGTTTTTTGGTGTTTCATTGAGCTGACGATGCTAACGTGTCCATATTTGTACGATTCTATGCGATGTTTTGCTACTGCCAGGGATATGTCATTTACTCATTTCAAGACCTCAAAGTCGTTTTACGTTTCGTTAAGAAAGAGTTGAAGACGTGTCATCGCGAATTGCATCATATCTGTTGTTACTGTTATATCAAGACGTATTTTGAAAGTAAATTGTCACACACCAAGCCCAAGGCGTTTCTCAGAAATCTGATCATGAAGTCTTCAATCTTCATGGTCCATGTCTTTGTCTGGGCGTCATTTTAAGGACTTCGTAAGAGGCATACATGAAGTACATCATTTCCTCAAGTCCTAAATTTCATTTCAACATGGCGTTTTTTAAGTTCTCTTCGCTGGTAAATATAAAGGATTTCAAAAAAGAAATGACCTCAACACTTGATGTTGAGGATATTAGTCTTGAAGAAAATGTTAGAGATCGATCAAAACTTTTGGACAACATAGCCCAGGACACCTTACAAGAAGTTGAAGATGTTTGTAGGTAAATTGAAGTATTTATAAAGATTTTTTATGTTGCCTTTATATTTGACCAAAAACTGTAGAGACCGGTTGTACGAAAGCTGGATAGCGGCATAGCGCTATCCATCGAATAAAGTTTCCGACCTTTAGATATTTTAATAAATACGTGGAACAATAACTGTGTGCGTTAAATAATCCATTTTATAAGCATAATATGTGAGATATAATACTATATCAATGAATCAATTTGATTACAATCAACAACCCCAGAAAAATTTTAAGGCATTGACAAGTTGATCAATGATAATAACAAAAAAACCATGCAGTATAATCATGCCAAGATTACTCTAAACTTTTGTGGGGGTGTTGAAAATTTCCAATGGGCTTATATATACACACTAACTCATCCATACTGAAAATCATGCCTTGCAATGACCAGCCTATGACATATATTAGACCATGAGCTTACTAAATTAAAACAATGCAGTGTATATGTTATATTGTAGTAGATTTAATTCTTAATATTTTAATTGTCTTTTTTGTATGTTTCGATCTGCAAAGTCCAAGTAATCTTAAGGTAATTATACATTATACATAGATTCAACTGATTCATATCCAATTCTTTGAGTCCCTTAATATTTCACATACATGCACGTGAAACATGGTTGTCAGTGTGAGCAGTTACCTCATAATAAAATCATTCTGATTGTTAGATAAAGTGTTCTATCAGCCTTACACATTATAGAGTGTAGCAAGAGGTTGAAGCCCTGCTAAAATTCAGGATGGATAAAAGTGTTTACATCCACAGGATAAAAACAATGGAAAAAGAATATAAAAATATGATATGTTTAATAAGGAAATACAGTAGGTCTTGCATAAATTTTAATGGTAAAGGAAAGCATATGATTGCTCAAATCCTTATGCTTCTCCCATGTCCTGTATAATAGTTGTTTATATAATAACGTTTAGAATTTAAGCAATTTCATTGGTCAAGAGCCATAATATATAAGAGAACAGATGCACAGAGTGACTTCAGAAAATTTTAATGAATTTGATCAGTGATCGCTTGTTTATTTTGTTAGGCAATCACATTTTAGCACTTGTCTTAAGCTAGCCAATAGCATTTCTTTAGTCCTATATATAGATTGCAAAAATTTTTACTTTAACAATTTTCCTAAATGTTGGGGAGAACAAAAATGAACTGTTTACCTGTTTAATTTCCCAAGTATTGCGGAAAACAAAAACAAACTGTTTGCCTGTTTAACTTGGGAACTTTTTCGGCTTGCCCCAGCAGCTACTATTTTGTGGCAACTATTTTGTTCTTATCATAAATGATGCCATACCATGTATCTATAACTGAAGTGCTAGACAATGGTTCAACATTATCTATTTGTGAAATAATACAATAGTCACTGTGTGATCTAATATAGCATTTGTTTATAAAACCCTGACTAGATTTCCATATACTAGCACAGTGGCTCCATGGTTGTGATTCATGCCTTATAATACTTTAGAATGCATTATATGACTAAATTCTGTTCTTTTTTCAAATAGTGTAAAGATGTGGATATAGATAGGATGGATGCCACAAGTAAGACAATATATCTCTCCGAAACAAATCTAGCCACTCTAAAGTAAGCAAACATTAAATATGTCAATATTATGTTGTTTCATCATCTTGTTGTGACATGGTTGTAGAATAAAATTATAACAGGAAAAACTATTGACTGGATCACATTTGTGCTTTTCTCTTTTGTTCTTAACGAAAATTCTACTGAATAAGTTAAAACAAGTTCAAATTTCCTTCTAAATATGTACTCTGTAATCTTTTGGAAGCCCATCAAAAACATCTAGCGGCTGTAAAATGGCGATTTTGAGATTTAAGTATGAGACTTTATATAATAACTATGATGAAACACGCAATTTGATTGGTTCGTAGGCGTGCAGTATGAGACAATTAATCCTGCACGGAAAGTTTACAATGCCGCTTTGCGCGGAAAATTTGACCGTCGTTTCATTGTAGTTATTTTATAGAGAAAATACTAAATGGTTTTCCTTGCAGGATTGCGTGATACTGCACTTGAGAAATTGCTCGACTTTCGGAAAGCGTGACTTTTCTATGTAGGTGCATGATAAAAATAATTTGTTTCATGAGTTTATTGGAAACCTAAAAAAGCTAGGCAGAACAAAGCCCTGTCCACACGATGCCGGAAGCATCAAGCCGACAAGCCCGAACTCATAAATATTGTTGTTGAGTATATCTATTAAATGCATGTCGTGAATAAGAAATTGTGTATAACCATACTCCGACATTTTCGACATGTTTCATGCCAAAAGAATTGGCGAAGATTTTACTCACCATGAAAATAACCTAAATAAGACTTACTTGAAACTAATACAGCAATAATTATAATGTCGAACATTAATATGGAAACGACTTGATACGTGACGTCATCGTTTTCAAATTTATCCGGCAAAGCTGTCCACACGTATCCGCCCGGTTACGTGTGCACGGTACGCGTAACCGTAAGAATTATTCTAGCGTTTTCAAATTCTTCCGGCATCGTGTGGACGGGCCCTAACATGCCCAGGTAGAATTTTACTCCGGGATTTCCTCCCCACTTTCCTTTAATTTCTCATTTTAGTCCCATGAATATAGTGCCATTCTGCCTGGCTCAAGGCGAGGACCGTAACTAGAACGACAATTGGGGGGGGGGGGTGTATAGTCATGTATTCAGTTGTACATACTCGACAGATTTTTAAGCTTCTGCACTCGCAAAAGAAATTCGTCCGGAAGAACCGAATATATGAATAAACACCCTCCCCACCCCCAATCATCATCGTTCTAGTCATCCCTGCTAAAGGCCTATCAAGACTCGATCACAAGTATCTCTTTTAGCGTAATTGTGTTAATAATGCATTTGAAAACGTAATTTTAGCGTAATTGTGCATGTTTATTAATAATGTATTTGAAAACCTGATCTCATTTAGCACTTTTCCTGTATTTCACAGCGTGTTACCTGAATCCAGGAGTTCTCGCAGAGCATCATTCAAACAGAAGAATTATATCATCCTTTCAGAACAGCTTGTAGGTATATAAACATTCTTTGATTTGGGTTTGAACTTATTAGTCATAAAGCTAACGTCTATCAATCTTAAAATTTGTTAACCGAATAGCGACTTTCAGTAATTTCAATTTGATAAACAGTCTAGCAATTCGGGGCGATGATGTATTCCAATTCAAAACATAGAAGAACTTATTTAGCTTGCTCTGTTTGTTCTAGCAAAAGGCGAAAGCAGCTGTCACCGGTCATAAAATAGATGTACCAGAAGTTGTCCTCTCTGTAGCACTATATCATCCCGTGAAGGTAATTAATCAATACTATTCCAAGAATTATAAAGTATTTCATACTTATTTATATATATGCATAATTTTTTCTCCGTCTTAATATAGTTAAGAAAAGTTCAAGAATTTTTGGTACTTGGAAGACAGGTAGGACATAGCTATTGCTAAAAAGTAATTCGAATTGTTTTCATGCATATTGTACAGTACATGCGGAAAGTTACACGATATTGATTTAAGGTCCGTTCACACGATCCAATATGTCGGATCCAATTCATTTCTGACGTATGGAATGTGGTTTGTTATTGATAAAACAGTACTTCATTGGTTCTAGTTGATTTGCTGACTATATACATTGCAAGTCAACTGACTATAAAACATCCATCAGAAGTGAATCGGATCCGACAACATTGGATCGTGTCAACAGACCTTTAAGGATAAAGTTCAGTTGAAAATTCTTGATGAACCTTGTATTGTATATACGCGGTAGCACCCACCTGACAAATCATCAACATTAAATTCTTTTGAGAGATTCATGATTTTCTCAGTCATTGATCACGAAAATATATTTAGCTACATAGCAGAAATAAAATGCTAAAACGGTTTAAGAACCTTTTACCATCTTCTTGCTTTCAAACTTGCAACAATTTGCATAGTCGACAAGATTGGCTCGCCAATTGCAAGCAATAAAGCAGTAGTTTTCCTCAGCTGTATTCCCATCCGTGACTTAGGGACCGGACAAATTTGCAAACGTGTTCTAATTCGTCCGGTTCAGGTGTTCACACGATGGAAACGAATGAATATTTTACCGGTTCTACGTGTTCACGCGAGGAGACCAGACGAATTTGAGCACGGTCCTAAATTCACCCGGTCGATCCTGTGCGAACCTAGCCTTAACCCCACTTTTGAGTATTGCTTCATGCAATAATACCTCAGTCAAATAGTACAGAGACATGAAAGAAGGTGAACATTTATCAATGCTTCATAAAATCTGTTCATAATCAATACAAGAATTTTATTAATATAAGTAACATGCACACAGCTCGCCTTATTCGTATTTCATTGAAAGAAAACGGCAGTGACGTTTGCATAGAACCCATGTACTCTATATGTTGATATGCGCTGTTTTTGCACGTAACACGTACAAGATACATATAGTGCCAGGCTAATGCGGGACATGTTTATCCGTTTTAGACATTAACTGATTTACGTGACAAAATATATTGTCCCGCGGATTCTATTGTTGTCGGGGAGCACAGCGAGAATCCCGATTTTGCAAGAATCGCTACAGGCAAGGTATGGTATTCACTCTCGTGCAAGAAGAAAAATACTGTTATGTTAGGCAACAGGTTTGTTAAATTGCGAAAACGAAGACTGGTTCCTAAACGTTGGGTTGCCATAAAATTATTTACCTTTCATTACTTTAACATGGAGGCTTAACCGTTGGCCTGTTTAATGCAATGCCCAGTAAGAATTGCTCAACAATTAAGGCAAAGTTGATCTGTATGTTAAATTACCGTTACAGGAAGTAACAATAATGTAGTCTCAATTTTGTAGGATATTTGCCCGTCTGCTTTTATATTCATTGAGAGTGTTTTCTACAATGACACAAGAAGCGATTTATGTCGAGATTATAGCAAGTAAGTTGTCAATTTTGTTTCAAAGTCAACTGTTATGGGCTATAGCATATTTCAACCGACGTCAAAACACTCTATCTCGTCAGGATCATGGACTTGATTTAAATTTGCATTCTTCAAGCATGCATGAAGTATCGAAGAATACCTCTCGTTTTATTATTAAGTAAGTGTAAGAGGAAAGAATGCATGCAAAGAGATGGTTAGTGATTTTTGTGATAGTAAAGTTGTTACATGTATCTGGGACAAAGTGATTGGAAAGGTTACCTGGGTACAAATTCTTGGGTTTGGATAGGCGATGATTTGAAGTGAAAATCTAATATTGACTATATGCAAGGTTATAAGAAGGCGATGAAACGCCAAAAAAGATACGGATCAACCCATTGGCATTGCATGGTGTCTCATTTTTATGTCGCGTAATATGTGTTGAAAACCTTATATCATCTCCCAACATGCAGTACTCTAACGTTTTGACATTTTAAAATGTTTTGCAAAGCTGGAAAGCAGAAAATTAGCTATGTTTACACGGTACTACATAATCTGAAAACAAAATTGTTGAAAGAGATTTCTAGGCGTATACGCAGAGAAAAAAGGTCACTTTAGTATTGTTCTTTATTCATAGTATTCATTTCAGTGGTAATGGCGTTGACATTTGTGACTATAATATAGCTCCATTATTTTAAAAAAAACTCTTGTTGCTTGTTGTTGACACTAAATGCTGTTCAAGATTTACGGCTGTTTTCCACTGTCGCGTTTTTGTGCGTATTTCTATACGAACGTAAAGCCTTATGGAATCAACGATTGAACAAATGCATAGGGTTGGATTCTGTTCATGATTTGATACGTTTTTTTCTGGCATGAGATTAATTATACAACAACTAAGAAGGTTTAAGCTTTTACGCGTGCGTGTACGTACGTGCAAGAAACACGACAGTGGAAAACAGCCCTTAGTCTACTATATAATGTAAACAATGAAGCTAAAGGACTTTGAGTGGTACGCAGGGGCGTATTTAGATCGATGATTAGGGAAGGGGTGATTATTCATATACATTTCGTTCTGCCCGACGGATGTCTTTTCTAAGTGCAATGCTTACAATAGAAACCCGGCCGTCGCGGGTAGAATAAACACCCCCCCCCAAATTATCGTTCTAGTTACGCCCTTGGAGGTACACCAAAAGGGTTTGATGTTTTTCTACGTTTTCCGGCCAAAATACGTGAACTTAAATGTTGCTTTTTCACTTCTTTCCAGACTCATAATGGATTGGACTAACAAAAAACACAATGGCGAGCTACCTCGATACGGTGTTTGTTCAAGCAAGAAAATGGAAGAGACAAAGTTTGAGGATTTAACAATTAAACTTGGCTATCCCTATGTTTTTGTGCACCAGGGTGATTGTGAGCATTTGCTATTGTTTCGTGATTTAAGGTAAATATTCCAGGCAAATATTAGTTGCTAACTATTAATACCTGCATGGATTCGATCAGTCGTGAGTATTGTGAACATGTCAAGGTGGCTGATGTGATTGAGAATATTTCTATGTGTGTGCAGTAAGCAATGACCGATTTGAATACAGAAACAAAGACAAATTTACATCCTGACTATTCCTCATCGGTGAAAATGATTTGTTCACGAGAATTACGACTAAATGAATACCGGGCTTCAAGTGGCACACTACTGTTAGTACGTTTTGCAACGTATGCTGATCTTCTAAATTTCAACAATATGTACATTTCATTTTCTCATCGTATGTTTTCACCGTTATACGGAATCCGTATTTTCAAAAATACTGTCTTTTGAGCTGTAGTTCCTGACTGTAATAACCGTGTGTTACGTCACTTGCATAGCTATATCGGCATTCTAGTTATGGTAAAATTACTGTCGTAACAATCATCCACGTGCTGATGTACGTGTCTTGCATATTACGTAAACTTCTTTGGATTTTGAGTTTTGCTGAGCTGGTTCTGCAAGCTGGACTTGATAATACGTATGTCTTATTTTTCGTCGTTTCGTTAGAATGTTACATGCGGATGATCCACAAGATGTTTGTAACTATCCATTTCACATATTTCGTCCACGACCAAAGAGACAAAGATGTATGATTTGTTCAATATACAGCGCCAGGTAATTTTCATTGTTATACCGTAGGTACTACAGTCACGTGTCTCGCGAGGCTTAGTGGCTTACATAAGAGGTTGTTCCAGCTTCAAATTTGGGTTCACCTCAACCCATTACAACCTGCCTTTAGTATTAGAAAGTGGCGTTACCGTTAGATTTGTATGATTGTTTCTGTCTCCGCTAAAAAGCTACTCGCCTCCTGGAATTTAGAGGACGGTGGCTTTATCAATGTCATAAAGATTTATTTTTAATTCCCTTGTGCATGATTATTCTTCCAAGGTGGCTAACGCGAGATGATCTATTAATGTCGGAAGACCCAAGTTTGTTTTGTGAAAAATGCTTCAAGGCTTTACACTACAGGGACAATCAGAAAGCGTATCCATTCAGTGCTTATCAATACTCTGGCGACTATTACTGGTAATCACAGGAAATGAATTAATGATGCTTTTTCCAAAAAATCGTCATCCCCACAAATTTACTTGTGTGCAAAGCCCGACTGGTTATGGATGGATGAAGGCGTCGACGCTTCAGTTTCAGTGTGAAAGTTGTGTTGTAAATTGGAGCCCTCATTCTGCTGCGTTAGGCAACAACCCTCTGCAGTCAAATGTAAGATTTGCTGTATTTTTTTTATCAAAAACGTCACAATTTTTCACTCCAATCGATACACGCTGCAACATGGTTTATATAAGGCTCTAAAAAGACGAAGACCATTTTGTTCCAAGTTTCTATGGAATGCTGAGTAGTTGCTTCTGCCATTAAATCATACGATAAGGATGAAAACTTATATCTCAGGTTTTAACGTTTATAGTTGTTTCCGCAACAACTTGGTCATATCTGTGCGCAGAGAGAGAAGAGAGAGAGACTATAGTAAATTGTAAATGTTTCAAATTGTAATTTGTTAAAATGTAAATATATATATAATTATTGTGTTTTTTCACAATTTTCCATTTCATCTCCATGTAGAAAATGCCTTGCCGAAAAGGCATTGGTATATATTAGTTTTGAAAATTACTCGGTTCGAGAAGTATTATGCCTTTTAGCGTTTATAGAACATGGGATGCGCAGAGCGGAATTTTTCTTTGCTTTTCGGAGAACGCACAGATAACAAATAATTTCATCCCGCGCGCAAAACTCTGCCTATTCACCCTATATTTGAAAACAACCAGCCTATGGAAACGATTTAATACGTTATGTCATCGTTTTCACATCGTTTTCAAATTATCCGGCAAAGCCGTCCACACGTATCCACTCAATCGTCGTTTTCAAGTTCTTTCGTTTTCAGTTGGACGGAAACGCCGAATACGTTTGTACGGAACCCGTCAGTCAGGCCGTCACCGTAAAAGTATTCTAACGTTTTTAAATTCTTCCGGCGTCGTGTGGGCAGGGCTGAATATTCAATATTGCATGTTTGATGAGGAAGGGTTTTGTTTACTGGTGTTTCTCGGTTCCTAGTCGTACGACGGTACAGCTGACAGCTACCCAGAAACACCATTAGCTACCATTAGCTGCCATAGTTTAGGGTAATTTTTGGGTCATTTTGGTAATTTTTTGTCACAAGCATTCTGAGTGGATCATGCTTGATCATGCTTGATTTCCTTTCAATTTCAATCAGTGACGACTATGAATTGATTAATTAACTTCGGTTATATAACATGTCAAACATAATTGTCAAACATGGACGATAGTGGAAGGAGATTGAGAGACGATCCAACTTTTAAAGCTTTGCAAGAACACTATGACGCAGTTGGATCAAAGATTCACATGAGAAAGCTGTTCGAAGATGATTCGAAACGTTTTGACAAATTTAGGTTTGTATGAACTAAACAGACTGACCTTTAAATGTTCCAAATAAACACACTCTTCGTGCTATTAAAGTTATATAACTACCTTCCGTATGGTATGTATTATGAAATTTATTTTTTAAAATCGATACCTGCCAGTTGACTATGCTTTCATTCAGCATAATAATCCCTGCAGAAATTTAGAATTGAACTTTTATGGCGATTGTAATCGATTTACAGTTGTTTCAAGCAGAGCTGAGCTAAACTAGTATCATTTGGGCAATACACCTCCTTTTTACCCAAGTGTATATGCACGGGGAATGGAGTCAATACATGGACAACAATTAAGTAACCATTTGAAAATTATCACAATATATTAGAACATATATAGAACAAACCAAATAATTCAATTGTGCTGATTAACCTGTTTGCTAATTATTATACAGAGATGGATTTCAGACAAATTACCTTTTCCTTAGTCAAGTGCATACAAACAGGATGTCCTTCTTTATAAATATATATTATTTGAAAATATATACTGACTTTATCTTAATCCACATACCCATCATTTATCTGACTATCAATAATATTCTGTCACGCTACCATTCATTAGCAAAATTCTTTACAGTTTTTATGGTGTGCATTTGCTAGCTATTTAATTACAATAGACCTTTCTCATAATGATGACAAACATGTCACATGATTTTTGATTGGTTCCACAAAGCTAACAACCCAATCAAACTTTTGACTATGACCCCCAAACCTATCTTAATTGCCACCTGTGAGTTTTGCAAAATGTCAAACTGGATTCATTGATTAAATGGGTTAATTTCAAAACATAGAATATGGTTATTCTGGTATAATGGTTATTCTAAAAGCTGTTTACTGATGTGTTAATTGTCCGCAATGAACTGAGATGATAATTAGCCACCAGTTTAAAGTTGATTTGAATAACCAGTGCCCAGGCTACCTTGTTAGCTCAGTTCACAAACATGCCAACAAACAAAAAAGCAGTGGCGGATCTAGGGGTGCACAGAATAAATTACACAGCTTAATTTTAAATTCAAAACACCTTAATAACAATGGTATTCGTTATGGATTTGAAAAGAATATTTTTACTGAACATTGTTAGCAGAGCGTAAAAACAATCAATTTCAAAAGAAACTGATAATGCTGATCAAATATATGAATATCCCAAAAACTAATAATGCTGATCAATATATGAATATCCCCCCTCCCATATAATTTACTTAGGCTCTGCTGATCACTCTGATAAATGTTACACCACTGGTTAGGCATTTATATAGTTAAGAGCCTGTTTACATAATCCCTTAAATCAGGTTAGATTTTGTAGTAAGCCCCCCTCAATATTCAAATTCAAGCTGAAAAGACATTTTTGGTTTTATTATTGCATTTCATCACAACATGTATAATGTTACAGTTTTTATAAAATTAATGTTTTTTAGTTTGTCAGTGGCTACCTCTGACGGGGAAATACTCTTGGATTACTCGAAAAACATAATTACAGAGGAAACAATGAAACTTTTGTTTGAGCTGGTAAGATTTGTGTATATTCAATTTCCCTTTTCAAAAAGTACAATACTTTCAACTTTGTTGCGGGGAAATTTAAATGTCGCTACGCGCGCAAAATTCTACCTAATATTACTATTATTGTTCATACTCCTGTTGTGATTCGTATGTTAAAACATTTTTAAAACTAGCTGCTCCTAAAGACTTCAAGTACTAGCGGCAACTCGCAACACAGCGTTCACTCCTTGATATAGCATATATTGACCTACATATATTGACGTCATTGACAGTGTTCTCGCTAACAGGTATTAATTCATGTGCAGTCCCAGCGAGTTAACGCTCAATAGAGGTTCACTTTACGTGTTTTAAACCTGCTATTCCTATTAGTTAAAACGGATTTAGTTTACTAACATTTCATATAACAATTCACTTGGACCCAATAAAATGCTCGCAGCAATCCCTACCTTGCACGTAACCTAGTATATATTGCTGTAATTTCACTATAAATTTCAAATTTCAGGCTGGAAGTAGAAATGTTCTGGCTGCTCGGGAAAGGTTATTTTCTGGTGAAAAAATAAATTTTACTGAGGTAACGATATATAACCATATCATATAGCTACATCATTTTTCAAAAACGTAAACCTTTTAAAAATACCCAAAAGTAATTTTTAAAAAAGTGTCAAGCTTCTTAATTTATAAATACCGATATGCACTGTGACAGGTTGAAGATTATAATGTTACAAAGATTATATAATCTTCAACGTGACAAAAAGTCGCCCTTTTTTAAATGGATCAAAACCTCTATAATGGCTACATCCCGTAACACAAAACGCTCCAAAGTATTTTTTTGTATATCAATAGATTTAATCTATTTTTTATGTTCTAATATGTAGAAACGAGCAGTTCTTCACGTGGCTCTTCGTAATCGTTCCAACACACCCATTCTTGTTGATGGAAAAAATGTAGGTATAGAACTTCGAATATTCATTCACGTTATCACCTCTTAAACGAAATTTGAATATACCGCTTTTATACATTATGAGAGCCTTCCTTTAAGAGGCCAAAATGATAAACCGGTATTTTTAATTGAAATACAGTATTTCGTTAAAAATAAAATGGTGAAATAACATTTTCCGCGTTAGGCTGATGTAAATAATGATTTAATTGAATGCAGTTCTCTTGCATGAAACTCTCTAAAATACGAGTGCAATAATTTACATTACGAGTGCACTAGTGCTGGATCCACCCCTGCAACAGGGCTGATCTCGTCTACAACAACCCCCTTATTATTATCTCGCTGCTTACGGGATAATATTATACTGATAATTTCCATTAAATAATAATCTGCGCGTCTTTGATGTTTTCGACACCCTCTCTTTAATAATGAAAGCAACACGAAAATTGGGCGTTGATCATACATAATTAGTATCAGGGTCGTAGTTAGAAGCCTCATTTGGGTAGGGTGGTGCGTTTTGATCTCTTTTCAAGGCTATTTTTCTGCGGTATGTAAACATGAATATATGAATACGCGCAGAATTGCGTTGCGTAGTTGCAGGTTTCCCCGGAAAACGCGATTTCCTTCACGACTGCTGAAGATTTCATCTGATCTTATGAGTCGCAATGGGAAAACTGTGGGCATCCTCCTTAATCTCAGGCTTTTGCCTGCACTGCTGAATGCACGTTCAAACTTTAGATTTAAAGGTCTAAATTTGTTGAACTGTTTAAGGTAATGGATGATGTCAACTCTGTTTTGGAACAAATGAGAAAGTTTTGTCATGCTGTTCGTAGTGGGGATTGGAAAGGTGAGGTTTGATGAAGTTGACTCTATTCAAATTTTATGAAATTTCGACTGTTGATGAATGGAATATTTGACCCGACATCAACGGAAATCGTCAATATGATTATCTGATATTATTTTATTTTATACGATTGGAGATTATTCAAATTACTCTTTTTAAAAAGAGCTTCTAAATGACAAATTTACAATTTCGGAATTCATTTGAAAGCAGAAAAAGCATTTTCTGACAAATATGCTGTACATATACGAAAACATGCAATGTCTTACAGATTACATGAACTCTTTGTAAAGACTGTATAAAGTCTCATCTTGTGTCTCGTTCATAAATTTTTCCATTCATTTAAGGTTTCAGTGGGCAAAAAATTACGGATGTTGTTAACATTGGTATTGGAGGATCTGACTTGGTAATGTATTCTAACTTTTTCCCTCCAAGGTATCAAAAAATATGCTTTTCGAGAATTTTTCTTGACAAAAATCTGATCCGAAGAGAAAAACTTAGATGATAGCTCTTTCAATCGTAGGAATTAAAGTATTTTTGAATGCCCAAAACACTCATTAATAATAACCTATAATTATCCAAGTTCTGTCCAAGTTCTGTCCGATGATGTGCCGGCTCTTAGACTGGTCCAAACTGTCTGTTTTTATTGCGTGTGATCGATGATACGTTGATATTCAACACATCTAAGACGGCTTCCATGCATGTGGACAATAATTTTTGACGGGTCTTTGTTTTAAAACGATGCCAATTTAAAAAAGCCGATTTT